AAAAAAAAAAAAAAAAAGGCGAAAAGATTAAAGACAGGTCAGGTCAACCATACTAACAGACAACAATCGACTTTGAACACAAATTTCCATTAAAGCTCCTCGTTGAAACCTTCGAAGTTACCAGAAAAACGCGGCCTTTAGGGGGAATCGAGGTAATCGAAACCCTGATTTCCCCACTCATCGGCCCAAATCCCACTTGATTTACCTCTCTGCAAACAGCTTCTTACATTTTTCTCCGTTTAAGTTCCGATCTGCGATTAGAAAACAAAAATTAGAATTATAAATTAAATGGGGACGCCGGCGTTTCCAAATCTCGGGAAGCACTGCACCGTTGAAGATTGCCGCCAGATTGATTTCCTTCCCTTCACCTGCGATTGCTGCAAACAGGTCTTTTTTTTTCGTGGGTCTTTTGTTTTTTTGGTTAAAGGTTGCATTTTTGTAGGTGATAATTGTTTCTTCATGGGATTTTGGGAATGTTAATGTGATAAAACTCGTTGCCTGATCTGTATTAAAAGGAACACGTTTATGGGGCATAAATTCTATTTAGGATGGCTCAAGCTGATTAGATTTTGAGTTTTGACCTATAAAGTGGCTACATTTCTGGAGTTCATAGTTTCTTCAGCTTAGATTGGCATTTATGTGATAAATGTAATGTGGAGTTATTACTTTTGTCTCTTGTTCTGGACTGTATTTTTTAGATTTTACGACCTTTTTGGAAATTTATCTTCTTGAGGAGAGTTCGGTTCTGTGCACTAGCCATTTAGGCCTTCTTGGAACAGCTTTGAGAGCTTGAATGGGAGATTGAGCTTTACTAGCCTGTTGATTATTTGTAGCTATATCGATTGCTTTGACTGCAGATTTAATGTTCCCGGCGATAAGAGTCCCTTAAAGTCAAGGTTTTGTTGGTCTGTTTGAGTAAAATCTTTATCTTTTGGCCAATAGAAGACTGAGATTGGGAGGTCTTTTAAGCTGTAATTTTGGCTGATCTATTATAGCCAAGTCCTTGTAACTAAACAGTTCCGATTTATTGTAATCGATTTGCACACTATGGGACAATGGTCCATATCTTTTCCTTTGCTGTAAGGGTCAATTACACTTGACAGTTGGTTCTCAGATTTTAGCATAGTTTCTCCCTTTGCCATCTTAAGCCGTGATTTTGGCTGCTCTATTATGGCCAAGCCCTTGTAACTAAAAAGTTTTGATTTACTGTATTCGATTTGTACGCTATAACACAATGCTCCATATCATAGAGTGCCCGTCTGAGCAACACAAGTCCCCCTTTTTTTTTTCTATTTTTCAACTAATGGACTAGATCAAAATGGCTCAATTAAATTCTAGTGCTTCTTCTATTAGTGAAGTTTCTAGAAAAAAATATATCAAACGACGCAACGCACCTTGGGTCGCTATTGAAACAACCTCCTTGTATAATTACAAGGGTAAGGTCTGCGTACAACTGACCCCCAGACCCCAACCTGTTAGGAATATACTGGGTATGTTATATTGATGTTGATGTTGATGATGACCGATATATATTCGATTTGTACGCTATAGCACAAATGCTCCATATCATAGAGTGCCCGACTGAGCAACACATGTCCCCCTTTTTTATATTTTTCAACTACCGATATATGCATCTTGCATATTTAACATAGAGATATCCGTTCCAGATTTTTGTGTCTTATACTTAAGTGACTTTTCTTATTTGAATTTTTCCTTCATGCTCTAATCGTTTTATTGCCGACTTCCGCTCAACAGGTATACTGCCTTGACCATAGAAGCTACAGCCGGCACAATTGCCCCAAAGCCAACAAAAACGACATAACAGTCGTCATTTGCCCCTTGTGCGCCAAAGGAGTTCGACTTATTCCCGAAGAAGACCCCAACATCACCTGGGAATCGCATGTCAACACTGAATGCGACCCTTCAAACTACGAGCAAGCAACCAAGAAAAGAAAATGCCCCATGCCCAGATGTCGTGAGATGCTCACCTTCTCCAACACAATCAAATGTAGAGACTGTGGGCTCGACCACTGCCTCAAACACCGGTTCGGGCCCGACCACAACTGTCCCGGCCCGAAAAAACCTGAGCCCACTTTCCAATTCATGAACTTTCTGAACAAGAGCAGCAGAAAGGACGAGCCCAACAAGAAAGCCGGATCAGCCACTTCCTCGTCTTCTTCTTCCAACTGGGCTTCGGGCCTTTGGAAGGTAGCCTCGTCCGTTCGGGCCTCAGCTGAAGCCGGTATTGAAAAGCTGAGCAGCGAGTTTAATCAGGCAGTGAGTACGAATGGTGGGGCCCAGGGGAGCACGCAGGCTGCCCGTGTGGGGAGTTCATCGGGCGGGCAGCAGGAGGTTTGCCCGCAGTGTAGAATGAGGTTTAAGAATGTCGGGGCCCTTGTGGAGCATGTGGAGAGAGTACACGAGAGGAATGGGGTTATGAAAGTGACACTTGATGTTTGTCCAAAGTGTAGTAAAGGGTTTAAGGATCCTGTTGCGCTCGTGGAGCATGTAGAGAGAGAACATAGAGGCGTTTCGAGAGCGTAATTGAAAGTTCCCCATACCTTTTTTTTTATTTTCTTTTTATTTAATTTTTTCATTTTCATGTGTGAAATTGTTGGCAAGTGTATCATTTGAGGATTAAGGTTCGAATGACAGTGAGGGAGTTTTCGACGTCTGGTTGTGATTGAATTCTTGAGTTTTATGATTATTGAGGCTCTCGCTATTCTGTGATCAAATATGTTATGCAGTTTGTCTTTTTTGAGATGAAATGTTTGCTGCATGCTATTTTCTTGTTCCAATTGCAGAAAGATAACTAAAACCATTAAAGTTAATATTTCTGGTTTTATTTTTTTCTTTTTTTTTTTCCTTTCCTTTATTCTTGGAATCACCTAACACTTCATAGTAGTGTTGTGTAATTCTTTTTTATTAACACCAAGCAATTGTAAATTGTGATTGTGGTGCCAAGTGCCAACAAGATTTTGGCCATCTTCATATCTGTAAAACACAGGAAGCTGACAGATTAAATAGGGTAACATAGTAAATGGCAAGCATGTCCATAGTGGAACTGATTAAAAAAATAACACAAAAAAAACAAGTGCCGTCCCACGGAGCGCACCAAGACAGGGAAAGCCTATATGAAATTCAAGTGAAGTTTCATCCCAAAATTAATTGGTGGATGAAGGAGTAATCCATTAAACTTATAAGTTAGATCTATTTTCTCTATATAAATGATGTGAGACAATCTACAAGTGAATATTCTAATAAATACGATAAGGGAAAGAGCAAAAAAAGGGACTTTTACTCTAAAACAAATTGGGATCATGATTGTCATTTAAGGTTTCCAAGTCAGCAACTAGTTTGAGTGCATTTTAAGGAAATAAGTGTAAGTGGAGCTCAAAAGAGAACTTTTTGCAGAGGAAATAGAATTGCATATTTCCCCATAAAGGTTAATTTTGTTGTTGTGGTGGTTGTGAGTGTAAAGATGCAAAAAGGTCCACAAAGATTAGTGAACTTTTTTATGTTTGCACCACCAATCATGGTTGAATATGGTGGATAACATCATTTATGGATCTGTCATCTGTTAAAATAAATTTATCCACGTTTGCATAATATCATAAATTAAAGGAAATCCCTCTTTATATATTAATTCAAAACGTGTTGAGATTAAGTGGCAGATTCTCACGCTTTGGATGCTGACATGGCAAAAATCATTTCTGCTCTGGAGTTAGGTTTGGTATTAAACATAAATAACTTTTATCACATATTTTTTAACTCAAGTTGTACTTTTATTAGTGTAGATATGTGTAAATCAATGATTAAAAGTCCATGAAGCAGTGTTCTATGGGTAGGGTCGAATTAGTCTTACATGTTGGCCCTATTCGACAAATATCAAATAGCGAATTGGATTAGCAGTTTTGACTAATTGATTGGTTAAAACTTCTTGTTTAAATGATATACCGATTCGTTCCGAGCTCTTCGAATTGGAATAAGGTTGGCAGCGGATCGCGAAATCTTGGTGATCTTCTCTATTTAATAAATGAAAAATTTTCTTCATTCGCCCTGCACCCACCCCAGAGTCTATTTGTCAAAAGAAAAAATAAAAAAAAAAAAGAATTTGAAAAAAAAAATAAAGGAAATAAAAATATAGGTATATGAGTTAATTTTTTTTTTTTATTCTTAGTTTTTTAACCAAGGTTTGCATCATTTTGACAGTTGGAGAATGTAACAAAGCAATCTATCTAGAAAGTATTTCCACATTATTTCATTTTGACCCTTATATTTTCACTAAATTACCGGGACAACACCCAGCGTCAGCAGCGAGACCGTTAGAGGAAATGAATCCTTGAGAATGTCAAATCTGACATGTTCTCAATCATCAATGTCAGCCCAGCTGAAAAATTCTCTAGAATCCTTAAAAACATACTTCGTAGTCGTCGAAAATATTTCATACGCGTGGAGAAAGAAAAAAAAAATAGAAAAATAACACAAAATAAAAAATTAAAATAAAAAAATAAAAAATTTGGGGTCCGTGAATAAAGAGAGTCATAAAGTTTCGGGGAAAATGGTGGGGAGCCGTTACATTGTTGAAAATCTTTGATGAGTTTTCAGGCTTTTGGCCTCATCTCTACAGACATTGTTCTCCAGGTAAAGCTCTCACATTTTTTATTATTATTATTTTTTGTTTTGAAATGGATGTTTGAACATGGGATTTTTGTATGTGTAATGATGCTTCTGTATCCATGATCAAGATTGGATTTTTGAGCTCTTATGTCCCTTCTAGTGTAACGTTGGCTGACGATTGAGATGCTTGAAGCTTTCTGAAGAAGATTAAATTTTTGAAGGATTGTTGGGTGATTATGTTGAGTTTCATAAATATAAAAGATCGGATTTTGGGGGATTTTTGGGTGCTCGTTTTCTTGAATTTCATAAATGTGGTTTCTTTGGCTAACGATTTTGATGCTAGAAGCTTCTTAAAAACATTGAATCTTGGATGGATTCTTGGGTGCTTTGTTTCATCTCATAAATGTGGCTTTTCTTGGCATGGGTTGTTGATTTTTTTCTTTTAATTTTTATATTTTAGTTTTGAATTTTGACGTGCGATTTTCTTTGGTTCGGCAATCCCGTTGTTTCTTTATATGGGTCGATGAAAAAAATGATTTTTTTATTGTGAGGCCGGTTAACCATTTTTGTTTTTCGTAATTAACTTGTGTTTTTGTTTTCCTGCAGGCTTTTACTGGCATTCCAGAAAGGCCTGCTTGATCCTACCTGCTTTTCTTTCCCTTCTTCCAACCTGATTTGTCAGAGATAATTAAGAAGGGAAAGAAAGCATTGTGGATTTGGAGGTGCATTTGTAGAGTAGTCGTTTAATTGTTCGAGCTTAGTAATAACAAAAATATGAGTGTTGTTTCTGGTGTGATCTCAAGGCAAGTCTTGCCGGCATGTGGCAGCCTATGTGTCTTTTGTCCTGCCATGCGTGCAAGATCTAGACAGCCCGTGAAGAGGTACAAGAAGTTGATAGCCGATATTTTCCCCCGGTCACAGGTAAGCTTCATGAATCTTATGTTGGAAAAGTTAATGTCTTATTTTGGTACTCTATTGCTTTTCCTACATGTATTCTTGTTGTCACTAGTCATATATCAATTTATTCTGAAAAAATGGAATACGATCGTCAGTACTTGATTTCTTGAGACATCTCACATACTGAATTTTCATGCTATCATATATGTTAAATTATTGTGTAGAGGGTTTCTGATCATTCTGCATCTTTTCCTTGACAGGAAGAAGAGCCAAATGATCGGAAAATCGGAAAGCTTTGTGAGTATGCTGCAAAAAATCCTTTGCGCATCCCAAAGGTATTCATTTATAAGTTGAGACACTGATATCAAACTGAGTTGCTATGAAAAATCCCATCTCAATGGCTTGACAGATCTTCGTTGTTCCACAAATTTTGGATCTGGATGATAATTTATGTATTTTCAAGAAATGTTAGTATTTTTACGGTTATATTGCTTGATATTATTATGGCCTTCCGTTTATTAGAGTTACTTTCTGCTTTTGAATTTATTGGTTTCTTAGTTCTAGCTTGACCCTGACTCCTTTTCTGGTATTTATTAAAAGGCGTACTTATATAGGCCTTGGTTTTCTTTGGTATCACAGATCGCAAACTCCCTTGAGCAAAGATGCTACAAAGAACTTAGGAATGAAAACTTTCGATCAGTGAAAATTATAATGTGCATTTATAGGAAGTTGTTAGTGTCTTGCAAGGAACAAATGTAAGCTCACTGCTACTGTTCTCTCTTTTTTTTTTTATATATTAATTATATCATTATCAGATAATTTCTCGATTGTATGCACAAAATGCTTGAATTTATTGAATATTTCATGGTTTTATGTTCTTGTTAGTGAATCATTTCACTCTAACCTGTTATACTGTTCCATTTTTCTTGACAGGCCTTTGTTTGCGAACAGTGTATTGACCATTATGAATACCTTGTTGGATCAAACAAACAAGGATGAGATGTTAATAATTGGATGTGAATCTCTCTTCGATTTCGTAAATAATCAGGTTGGTTTACTGCCCCGCAAATTTTAGTTTGCCTAAGGCACAATTTCCTCCAGAAGCCTCCGTGTGGAAAATTGAACTGATGCTGTTTTTCCTTTGTTTTTCTCTTGGGGACATGTTCTCTAGAACGATGGAACTTACATCTTTAACCTCGAAGGGTTTATTCCAAAGCTCTGCCAGCTGGCTCAAGAAGTTGGAGAAGATGAGCGGGCCGAGACAATAAGGGCAGTTGGACTGCAAGCTCTATCTGCTATGGTGTCATGCTCTCTTTCGAGCTTATTTTTTCTTGTCTTTCTTTTAAGTCCTACAGTCTTTGAACCTAATGGCAGCAATAGATTAGTTTTCATTACATTATGGTTATGCTGTTAAAGGCATATTACTATTGTGGTATTCATTACTTTTATATTTTTAATGTTGGCATGCTTAGATTCCTCTTTTTTTTTGTTCATACAGGTTTGGTTCATGGGTGAAAACTCTCATATTTCAGATGAATTTGACAATGTAAGCACGTTTTTCTGAGCTGTGTGAGACTCTCTCTCTCTCTCTCTCTCTCTTTCTCTCTCTGTAATTACATTTTAGGGAAAACAATGGAAGTGATGTTATGTTACACGATATTTCCTCACTTT